TCTTCAGGGCATCATCCTTGCTGTTGATCCTCCCCAGTAGACGGAGGGAGGAGGAAGCAGCAAAGGCAGAAGAGAGAGACAGCCAGAGAAGATCTTAAAAAACACACTAAAAACAAATGTAGCTTGAAAAGGCCCCTTCTAACAGCTGTTGCTAGAAGAGAGTTAATTAAAATGTAATTAGCTATTACGTTTCACTAGGAAACTAAATGAGTTTATTACAGCCTTCTGAACCATTACACAATTTCTTTTTCACATTTATGTTTCGCTCTGGCCACCGAGTGTGCGCTTTCCAAGAAGCATTTTTTCCCCAAAATGGATTATTCCATCGAAAGTGTCACAAACGGAGCCTGGAGCAGCGCATGTAATGCAGAATACCAACCTCCTATTCCCTTTTTAAAACACACACACACATTAGTATAAAAGTATTATAGTCACAGCTCAGGGTATTGCCTTTGTAAAAGGAACTCGTTGCATTTCCCAGTTTCATCGCTGTGGCTGCTCTGACTCAACAAATAATTTGCTGCGTTGAACTAACGCTTTCTGCGTTCCTTCCCATCCATTTAGAAAAAGGGACAGATTTCCTGGTTCCCTCTAGTGGCAAATTCTGACATTGCACCACATAAAACTACGGAAGACAAAAAAGAAGGAATATTTCTCTCGCTTTGTGATGCATTTCCTCTTTCTTGGAAACGGGGAAGCAAACATCATAATCAGACAAGACAATTTAGGAAAATGTAACTCCCAACTTTGACCAAGAAGCCACGAAACAAGAGAAGCCATCTAAAACAGTCAAGAAAACAAGAAGGGCAGCTGACAGGTAATGAGTCGGCAAAATAAAATATATCTGCCAGTCACGCTCCCTGGTCTACCTTCCAGGGTTCTTGGTTTGATAAAACACAGTAAAGAAAAACCGCAAATGCTGCCTTCAGACCCTTGGATGAATGGTGAGATATAAATATAATAAATCATATAAATGTCTAATTTATTTGTGCTTTTTTTTTTAAAGGGAAGTTTGGGGCAAAGTACTGCTTATCCCAAGGAATGGACAAAATGTTTCAGTACAAATGGAATGTTGGGTTAAAAGTTCCAGCAGCTCTGCAGAGGGGAGCCAATGATGAAACGTGATGGGATTTGTAGTCCACAAGTTGCCCTCTCTCAAATTCCTAGCCTAGTTCATGTCTTGGAAAAATTCTCTCTCTCTCTCTCTTTCTTGACAACATCTCCCAGCATTCACGACCCTAACCTTCCCAAGCTCAAATGTCATTTCAAGAGGCACCTGCCAGATCAGTTAGACTCCCTACATAATAAATTAAATGTCCAGGAGCCCATCATCGCTGGCCATTTCCTCTCCTCCTCTGTGCCTCTGTTCCTATTCAAGAAGGATGCTGGTTTCACTCCTGCCTGCTCTCCCCCCTCTCCTCCCTTGTCTTTCCCCTTTGGTGGCATCATCAACCTTTCCCAGCTTCACCTGTTTAATGGTCGCCCGTCAGCCAGTAAAAGAGGAAGTAAAAGAACAAAAGGGCCATCTCTGCCCAGACAGGGGAACATGGGTGTGAAGCATTTCTTAAGACAACAGAAAAACCACCCGATGCCTCCAAAATTCAGAATCTGGGGAGGTGTTTTATTTCCAGAGCCGGGCGGAGTTCCTTTCTTGTGACTGTAACTCACACAATCACCCAATTTCTGGATATTGTAGTCCAAAGATATAAACTCTGCCATGCTCTGGAAATGAGACACCTTCCTAGGTTGGGGGATGATGAGGTCTGTAGTCTGAAAACATTAATATTTCCCATCTTTGCTTCATTCTTACTTATTTCTCCCTCTGTCGAATAAACAAGGACTTCCACAGACAGGTCTTTCCCATCACCTTGATCTTGGTAATTAGAAAGGGCTTAAGGATTGAAACTCGAGCTTCTGGACCAACTAGGATCTGCTCCACCCAGTGTTTGAGAGCATGCAGCTATGGGGATTTTAGAAGCTGTAATCATAACCAGCACCTTCCTTCTTAACTGGTGGATCTATCATCAAATTGTGTCCTATCTACCACTATAATGGGTGCAATGTTAATGCCTGAAGAACAGATTCTGGGTGGGACTGTCCCCCCAACCATGCCCTCCAAGGGGGAAAAAAAAACAAATAAACCCTCAGGCACCTTTGGTGGGTACCATATCTCTTACATGAGGACCTGAGGCTGTTTCCAATATTTAATTCATTAGGAAACATTGAACTGACTAAGAAGATGCCCTAAAATAATTGGCTTATTCTCTTCAAAAGGGTTGTCAAGAAGCGCTTGTAGAAATTACAGATGGCATGTGCCAGTTTTGGAAACATACCGCCTTTTCTCCCACCCAGAAGAAAACGTCTGTTCCAAGAGGATGCGCGCTGAATCCATAGATGTGTCACACAAAAAAAATAAACAAAGGCTGGTCCTTTGTCCATTTGTTTGTATCTAAAATCCTGTTTTCCTGCATATAAAAAATCCACACTGGCAAAATTTCCCTAAACTTCCAATCGACTTAAAATGCCTTCCGGGATGTCGTTCTACCTCAAAGGTTGGTCTTCTGCATTCCCTGAAGCCCCGGGCTACAAAATGTACCTTAGGAGGAATAAAGAACCTCACCCGAAGCCTTATTAAACACCCAGCTTCATTACAGACCCTTAACAGACACATTTTCTCTCATAAAAATGCTTTGAGCCAAGGAAGGCCTGATCCACTCTTGCAGGCAAGAAGGAACAAAGGGACGTGGTTCCAAACAGAGAAGATAGGAGGGGGGGAAATGCAGAAACAACATGAAGTGAAGGTTTACATCTTCCAGACTGCAGGTAATTTTGTTGCAGTAAAGTAAAATGCCTTCGCGGTTTCCGAATTAGACCCAGGGCCCCGAAGGGCCATCAAAACCCATAAAGCTGAGACAGTGACTGGGAGGTTCCATGTACAAGACCCCAGATCATTCTGCAACTGAGCATGGAAAAGTTACCGTTTGGAACCACAGCTTTACCACAGCCACTGATCACAATGCCCGAGGCTTGCTTTATTTATTGTATTTTGTTCCAAATATTTTTACCCTGCGCTTTCTCCTAAAAGCAATGGACCCAAGGCCTCTTGCATCATTAGGAATACATGAAAAGCCCAAAACAGTAAATAATTCCAGTGTTAAAGAAGAATTGGTAACACTGTATTAAATATGTCAGGTAAAAGTACTACAAAAAACAGATTTAGAAGCAACACGATATAAACCCTCCTGTTTATGGCCTCCTAGACAGCCAGTCACCAAGGGAACGCTTGTCTGAAGAGAAAGCTCTTTGCCTGCTTTCGGAAAGACAGCAAAAAATGGGGCTAGTGTGGCCTCCAGTGGGAGGGAGTTCCACAGGCTGGAAGAGGGCAGTGCAAATATATCCAAGATCTGCTGCAGATCTGTCTGCATAGCACATTTCCCTCTGATGGTTATGCGTGGTCCAATCTCTGTCCCTCACGTACCTAGAAAGACTCTTGTCAGCATAAAGAGGGAATTCAGATGTACCCTCTTCAGCCCTTTGAAAAGACTCAAAGAGCAGTATGTCCCTAATAGATAAAATTAGTACTACATCAAATCAAGCCTGAAACATTTACAGAGGGGAAAAAATGTTGAAACTGAGGCTGTGCTACTTCAGGCACCTCATGAGAAGGCAGGATTCTCTGGAAAAGATCATACTAGTGGGAAACATTGGAGGCAGGAGGAAAAGAGGAAGACCCAATAGGAGATGGACAGATTACCTAAAGGAAGCCACAACTTTTGAGATTGCAAGAGCTGAGCGAGGCTGTTGCGGACAGGGTATTTTGGTGACCCTTCATTCATGGGCTGGCCCTACGGTAGGGGCAACTTGATGGCCCGTAACCACAAAAGCCCACATGGTTCCAGTGACATGGGGGGGGGAAGTAACGCTTGAGTTAAGGTGCTCCCCAGTGTTGGCCCCTCAAGAAGGAGCCCCGGTAAGCCTCCTTCCAGATTTCCACCTGGATCGGGACATAAAAACACGTAAGACAAGAAAGCTTAAAAGCTACCGGTACATTTCCTAGATTCAACAACGGGTTCTGGAAATGGTTCTTGTACCTCATTGAAAACAGAAGGGAAAACATTATATACTTGAAGAGCCTTTGGTCAACATGGAATTGCTGATGGAGAATCACGATATACACAGGGATATTTCCCCCCCTGTTTCTAACTAAGTGTATTAAATCGGACACTGGCTCTCCAAGTGAACGCCCATGAGGGGAATCGACCACAGGCAGGTTTGACAGATCTCCGGGCCACCTTTCTATCCCCAGGTTCAGCCCCGCGGTAAGGCACTGTGGGAGTGAGCAGGCCATGTGTAGCCAACAGACTACAGATCCCATCAGCCACAGGCAGCACCCTCAAGACTGAGAGGTCACGTGCTCCTCAACCCTGGTGCAGAGCGCACGAGAAGGGAGCCACACTCAGAGAAGAAAGACACACACACACACACCATCCTAGGCGGATTCCAGGCTTAGCTGCTCTTCCGCACGACCCACTTCCCCGGCTAGAAGGGGCAGAGACTCACACAGAGATGCGACACGGGGTGTCTTCTTCAGTCAGGCCGTGGGGGACGATGGCACGGACCCATCCTATCTGAGGCAGACGGCAGCAGGAGAACCTGCTTTCATCAGAGGTTGAGGAGAAGACCCCACCCAGGAACTGCGAGAAGCAAAAAAATATATATATCGTATATCGATATAGAAGATCTCCCAACAAGGAAACAAAGGACAATCATCAGACCCAGAATCTGCCCCAAATAGATGCTCCCCCATCACACAAACATACAAGTGGGTCGGAACCATTAATATCACGTTAACAAGACGTCACTTTTTGTCCACCCCATCGACGTAGGGAGAGGAGAGAGAAAAAAAACGACATAAACAGAAAGTCTACTCCAAACACTTGATGTTTTTCTGTAATATTTTATTTATATAGAAATACTTAAAAAAACATGAAGTAGCACCATTACTTAAGTTTTACCTTTATTATGTAGAACTTTAAATGTCAGAAAAATAAAACTCTTGATACAATTCCAAATCTTGTCTCAGCAAATATAATATTAGTATTTAACCATGAGGTTAAAGGCCCTTTATCATAAAATAAAATATACTTTGTTTTTAAACTTTGCTCAGTAAAGTACATTTAAGATCAAGTAATATCACCTACATATACATAAACAAGTGATAAACAAATGTATTAAAATAGAAATACCAAACTATAGTGGTGCAACAGAATTTATTTTTTTGGAATTTCCACTGAATTCTATTTATAGAAATGTCAGAAAGCATCAACAGTTCCTTTTGATGTATGCGTAAACGCTTTCAATTTTTTTTTTTGTAATAATATAGAATAAAATACGTTTCATATCACTGAATAGAAAATATGCTGGGTGAAGCAGTTTTAAAAGATTTTTTTTTCTGAACCTATAAAAAATCTTCATCCCAACAGAGAATACTGTTCAAAGCATTAGACATTTATGGTTTTTTTTTGCTATTCCATTCACCATTGTGTGATAGTAAAATAATACAGTGTTCTTTGCCATAAGGCCATACTAAAAAATAAAAAAGATTTAACCCAGCTACAAAAAAGTTCACTGAACTTAAATTAAAATACTTGTAAACATCTTCGCAATATGAAATATAATTTTTCAAGTCAAAAAAGAATAAAATACTTCAATCTGTATTAATGCAATTTATCTTTAAAACCTTTAAACGTTTTCATATATATAAGAGATATGTTACAGTTTCCTTTTTTTCATCTTTTTTTTTCTTTGATAAAGCTGCAGTATCCTTAAGTTTATTATTATTATTATTATTATTAACTTTTTTTTTGCCCTTTCAAGAACATTCAAGAAAAGTAACCCATCCATAACTATTTCTCAGTAAGCAACCTAGCAACTACCAGCACTATTATATTAACGGTCCACACACCATCATAATTCCATATGTACTTCCTACTTTAATTTAGAAAAGAGAAAGTTAAGAAGGGAAGAGAGAGAGAGAAAGAGAGAAAAGAAAGGAAGTGTTTTCCTGATTGGCTTTAAGATAAACGGCAAAAACCTAGCCTATTACTAGAATGTCTTTCCTTAATATTTATAGCATGCATTAAGATGTTCCAAACATCCCCCCCTTGAGCCATCCTAGACTACAGTACACTCAATGTGAATCTTTTTTAAAAAATCGAATTTAATTGGGGGGGGGGCTGGAGACAACCTGGAAAAAAAAGGGGTTAGGTCCCCCCTCCCCAAAATTTATTGTTACTCCTTCTGTATTGTTTCTGAGGTGATGGTTGGTTTCGAGAGGTGCAGATGCTGCCCTTGGTAAAGCTTGGCAGCCGACAAGAGGAGGGACCAGGCCTCCCTCTCTGCCTGGAGAGAAAGGCGGATCAATCGCGTGTCTGTCTCTCTCTCTGTGTGTGTTGTGTGTCTTGTGTGAAAGGCGAGCAGGAGAGTCCGGCTTGTGCGTGTGAAGGGGTGGGCGTGCCACACGGGGCGAGGGGGTTGGGTGCCCAGGCTTAGGAGAAGATCCGGATGGCCTGGGTGACGGCACTGTGGCAGACGGGGCACTGGGGGTCGCTCCTCTCGCAGATGCGGTTGGCACACTCCATGCAGAAGAGGTTGTGGCCGCAGGGCACCAGGGCCGCGATCACTTCGCTCTCGAAGCAGATGGAGCAGTCCCGGCTGCCTTTCCTCCTCAAGCCGGAGGACGAGGAGCAGGAGCTGGACGAGGAGCTGGACGAGGAGCTGGAGGAGGAGGACGAGGAGCCCGAGGAATCCGAGGGCAAGCTGGGCAAGTGGCACCCCAGCCCGTTGGCATAGAGGGGGTATGAGCAGGAAGAGGAAGAGGAGGAGGAGGAGGAAGGCGAGGAGGAGGAGGCCACGGCCACGGCGGCGGCCGCCACGGCGGCGGCGATCAGGCGCCCCCCGGGGTCGCTCCGCACCCGTCGGG